CCGTCCTCCACTGAGGAGGATGAGAATCTGAGGGACACCCGCTTGCTTTCTACTCCCCGCAGAGGCAGTGAAGACATTGTCCCTCACATACTGGAGAGCTGCCCCAGTGTTGAGGGGTCTCCCTCCTCTATGCCTCAGACCTCTGACAGAGTTCAAGATATCCCCCTTTGTTGTGTAGGTATTCAGATAGAAATTGACCTCTGCGTCTCTACTGTACTGCACCACGGAAACACGGTCTCTGTTTGCATCTATGTTGAATTGCTCCACTAATCTTTGCACAAAGTCACGCATCGCTGGGAAAGTATTTTTTGCACAAAGTCACGCATCACTGTGAAAGTATTTCTAGTAGCATCTGAAGCGTCCAGCAGGAACACTACGTCCTTTCTGGGTATGGCGTCACCAGCTAGGAAAAGAAAACAGCGTAATTAACACCAGGACATTTCAAAACATCATTAGAACTGCACTTTAGTTCACTACCTCTTTGACCACCTAAGCTGCGAGTAATCAACAAGGCAAGGCCTGTCAGCTAGCTCTCGTTAAGTTCTGCCATGCACATACCGGTCAGAGTCGGGGAAGTTGGAGTGATGGGAATTGGAACAGCCTGGACAGAGGCCAGCAGCTGCTCTTGGACTTTTGGAAGCTCATTGAAGTCGGACACGGTCAGAGCATAATTGGGGTCGTATGAAATTCTCTGCAATGCTCTGCTATCAGAGCCCCTCGATCCTATTCCAAAGATCAAAACGCCAAGCTCTTTCAGAGAGGAGGCTGCTGCATCAACACTGTCAGATGACCTTCCCCCGCTAAGCAAAACCAGTATCTGCGGCACACCCTCCAGCCGCCTGCTGCCGGAGGAGGCTGTAAAGACATTGTCTCTGACATACTGGAGACCTGCCCCCGTGTAGAGGGGTCTGCCTCCTTTGTGCCTCAGATCTCTGACACGTTCAAGAATGTCTTCCTTTTTCGTGTACGTGTTTAGATAGAAATGGACGTCTGTGTCTTTGTTGTACTGGACAACAGAAACACGAACTCTGTTCTCAGCTACGTCCAATCTCTCCACCATTCTTTGCACAAACTCTTTCATTGCTGGGAACCCATTCCTATTTCCATCTGATCCATCCATTAGGAAGACAACATCTCTTCTCTGTCTTTCACTCTCAGCTATGAAACAAATATTGAAGAGTGAAATCAGGAAGGACAGTGCATACTATTATCAATAGGAATGTTCCACTTTGAAATAAAAAATAATAATTTTAAATATATAGTTGTTACTTAATAGAAATGCAAAGGTTTAACTTCTATGTTGAAAATATATCATATTAGTAGGGCTGCCTTTGACTAAAGATTTTTCTGATTGACTAATAGTCGTTCATTTTATGCAATTAGTTAACTAATCACATGTTTATATTAACAAACCATGTAATTCATAATAGTGAGCCTTTAATTGCCAATAGTATATCAGCGCTCAAGTGCACACATAAACAACACAAAAGTAATGATTATGAATGCTTCAGGGAAAACAACAGCAAGAAGACTACCTTTATATCATTATTAATTGATAAACTAGTGTTTTCTTTATTTTTGGCTGCAGTGACGAAGCCGAAGACACTGACTTATCATCTCCATAGTGGACATGCACGTTTCATACAGATTACATAATCTGAAAATATTTGTTTTCCATTTGAATTGGTTCATTTAAAAGTAGACATTTTGCTATCTATAGATATATTTCTTTGACACGCTCAAATTCACAGAGACCTAGATATAAGAGAAAGCGGTAGATAAAGCGTACCCTGTTTGCTTTCATTATTTTACAAAAACACAACGTTTTGTTGTTATTTTGAGTGCACACAAATGAAAGTGGTCCTTTTACAGATTTGAAAGATGTACTACTCTTATCGGTATGACCAAAAATGATGGAGTATTAATTTAAATATTTGTAGTAATTTAAATGCAAATGATCGCACCAGTGTCCTGACATTTTATCCTACCCATCAGATTGTCCTACCAGGGTTTATTGCGCATGCGCACATCAATATTGCATCCTTTTTCTCATGCTGAACAACAATATTTAATGTATCTGCATTACTGTAAGGGTAGGTTTAGGGTTGGGGTAGGGGTAGACTTTAATAAAACGCATTCTAATAGGTAGAAAAAATTATTTATTGTTGGTTTCTTGTAGCTGTATCCCTTCTAGATACAACCGCGAACATAACACATAATTACTGTATTTGCATTACTGTAAGGGTAGGTTTGGGTTGTGGTAGGTGCAGATGTTAATAAACCATAATTTTACAGGTAGCATTTTTCGTTTTCGAATTGTACTACCCACTGTTTTAATGGGAGGTAGCAAAATCTGACAGGGTAGCACAAATCGACAGAACACCGGCACCTCCAAGTTAACTGTCATGCAGTAAGTGCGCTACTATTCAGTTTCCACACTCCGCACAAACACTTGAATAGCACACATTTTTCTAGGTTAACGTTAAAGAGAGTGGCCATGTAATGATGTTACTACTTACATGTTTCAGATGATAAGCCAGATTTGAGGTTGATGAATGAAACAAATGTTTGCATCGACGTAAACAAACGGCTAGACTGATCTGACTACGTGACTTCGCCACTTTCTGTAGATTTTTTTTACCTGTGACTAATAAAATTTTGATCAACTAAGTCTCTTCTCGTTGAGTAATGGTTAGTCGACTATTAGGAGGGGGCAGCCCTACATAATAGTAACATTTTTAACCTAATTATCATAATACATTTCTGAATATTAAGGAGGTATTTTAGTCACTACTGTGCAGAAGCATTATTACACTTACCTATGAATTCCTTTTTGTTGTAACTTGGAATGGCTTTCATTGCTTCTAATAACTGTGTCTGGATTTTTGGTAATTCACTGAAGTCAGCCAATGAAAGCACTTTATTTTCAGAAGAAACTGTATGTAATTCATAAGAGTCTGAGTACTTTCCTCCTATTCCATATATTAACACCCCACTTTCTTTCAAAGCAGAGGCTGCTTCAGAAATGCTGTCCCTTGATTTTCCACTAGTCAGCAGAATTAATATTTGAGGGATGCCTTCTTTGTGCCTGCTTCCCGAGGCACTTATAAAGATATTTTCCTTTACATATAGAAGGGCAGAGCCTGTATTTAAGGGCCTTCCACCTTTATGGCTAAGCACTTTTACTGCATTCAATACATCTTCCTTTCTTAAGAATGAATTCAAATAAAAATTTGCTACAGGCACATTGCTGTATTGAATTATTGAGATTCTATCATTATTAATACCCACATTGAGATTTGTGATAATATTGTACAGAAAATCACGTATTTCTGGAAATCCTCTTCTTGTACTGTCCGAACCATCCACAAGAAAAGCAATATCCCTTTTAAATCCTGTGCCTAGAATTGCAATAATTACAGGATTAGAGATGCACCTTTATAGTATTTTTCTAATTAGAATTAGTATGTTTAGTTTCATTTGTAATATACAATGGCAGGAGGCAAATACATAAAAATGGTAAAAATAAATAAATGAATACAGAATGTTATTTCCAACAATAAAATATTTTGTAACTTTGTATTTAATTCAGCTTTCCATTAACAAAAAATTAAATAAAAAATAAATTGAAATGATCAGCCTATACTGAAAGTCTCAACATGAAATCTTAAAACTTCTATGAACATCTATAAATGTTTCTAAAGCTTTACAATGTATTATTTTTTATTCTTACCATCAATTTCTCTGTCTCCTTTTTGTCTTTCACCCATAAGTTTTCTCATGAGGCTTTGGCGTAAATTTTTTAAATCATGAAAATCAGAAACAGCAATGGCATAATCTGTCTTCGAAGAAATGGCTTCCATTTCAATAGGATCTGTCAGCCTTGACCCAATGGCAAAAATGGCTACTCCCATACTCTTTAGTGCGTTAGCTGGTCCACGAGGAGAATCTCTTGATCTGCCACCAGCCACAAGCACAAGATTTTGGCTAACACGGCCTATTTGCTGACTTCTAACACTTGGGGTAAAAATATTGTCTCTAACAAACTGCAAAGCTTGGCCAATATATTGCGGCCTTCCCCCTTTTGGTTTGAGGTTGCGTACAGCATCTGCCACCTCAGAAGTGGATGAGTATGTACTGAGATTAAAGCTTATTGCTGCAGTATTACTGAACTGCACAACAGCAATTTGATCTTTTTCTTTACCAACATCAAATGTCTCTGCCAAACTGGCCACAAATTCTCGTATAGCTGTGAATCTATCACTAGCATCATCTGATCCATCAATAAGAAACACAATATTTCTTCCTGCATCCAAAGTCTGGCCTACAATAAATAAAACAAAGAATATTTCCATAAAGGAAAGACAACAGTATTTAAACAACAATTCTATAGAAACACAGTAGATACAGTGGCTAATTTGTCTGCATCTGCAAGTCTCTTCTTCATGTAACATAACAGCATGTTCAACAAAGACATCATTTATCAAAGTTCTTACCCCCAGGAGTTGGAAATTGCTCAGGAATTTCATCACCACTTGTCAAAACAGAGGCAACTCTTTGGACAATGCTGTTGATGGAGGTGAAGTCAGGAACAGAGAAAGCATACGCTGGTGTTGTAGACATTGTCTGTAACTCAAGTGTATCAGAATTACTTGTGCCAATTGTAATGACTTTTATGTTGTTTTCTCTTAAACTTTGTGAAATGGTTCTGACATCATCACCAGATCTACCACCGCTAAATAAGTACAGAATCTGAGGTACACCCTCATGACGTCTGCTCCCAGAGGATTGTGTAAAAATATTTTCTTTAATAAACAGTAGAGCAGCTCCAGTATTCAGTGGCCTTCCACTTTTGTGCCTCATAGATCGTATGGAATTACTGAGGAACAGTAAGGGTATGACCAGGAGTATATGAAATTGCCTGGAGTTGAATAACATCTGCATTTTGATTGCCAATACTGAATGTTACAATTTGATCCTTTTTCAGAGCAGCAGCTGGAGCTCTAACATCATCCTGAGACCTTCCTCCAGTCACAAGCACAAGCACCTGAGGAGCCCCCTCTAGGATTCTGCTCCCAGAAGAGGCAATGAATATGTTCTTTTTGGTATAGTCAAGGGCTCTTCCCGTGTTGAGGGGACTTCCTCCCTGGTGTTTCAGACTCTCAATTGAATTGAGAATGTCTTGATTTGTGGCATGTGTGTTGAGGTAAAAATGGACCTGTGGCTCTCTGCTGTATTGAACTACAGACACTCTGTCTCTGCTTGGCCCAATATTGAGTTTGTCCACCACTCTTTGAACAAACTGACACATTTGTTTAAATGCATCCCTGGTGTCATCAGACCCATCCAGAATAAAGACAATGTCTCTTTGAGCTGCATCCAATTCAACTGGGATGAAAATTAAATGGCTTTAGTAAAACGGACTCTTGTAAAATTGTAAGACAAAACATCATTAACACACTAAATACATAAAGCACATGATTGTATGTAGTGATTTTTCATAGTATTAACAATAAAATTCAAATCTGAACGAACAATTTACAGACACATTTACAATCCATATACATTTTGTTATGTTTGTGTGAATATGCTGACAATATCTGACAAAAGAAAAATGAAAAATGTATGACAGGATATCACTAGTGTATTTTCAAGCTCAATTGAATAAGTAAGATCAATCAAGCAACCAGAATAGAAAAAGGGAAGAACAAGGAGTTGAAATACCAGCAATGATTGAGAAATCATTGGCTCAAACAAGAGCTTTAACCTGAAGGGGAATCTCCACAAGTAGTAAGACTCTTCCATGGTTAAGAGAACCAGTGGAAAACCATGGAAGTTCTCTGATGGACAAAGCAAAAGATGAACAGAACAGGTAAATATTTAGTGGTCAAGGCCATTAAGTGCCATTCTTTAACATATGTTAAGAAAGCTGAATCAATCAATCAATAAATGGCCTCATAGTTAAAGCAAGCAGATTAGTGAAGAAAGCAGCTTTTCGTGAAGTTTCATGTCCAAACTCTCAAATGCCCAAAGTCAAAAGAAAAAGTTTGAATTTGAGGAAAATGCCAAGTGTTGCTATTCTTACCAATGATAGTAGGGGGTTCTATTCCCATTTTGGATTTGATAAAGGAGAGGATATCAGGCTGTATATTTAAAAGTTCACCAAAGGCTGGAAGATTAAAAAGAAATCTAGGTGAAAATGCTATGCTTTGGAGCTCTGCCTCTACAGCATTCTTTATTCCAATGGCAATGGACAGAACTCCAATATTTTTGAGATCTTCAGCTGGACCTGCCACATCATCAATGGACCCTCCACCAGTCATAACAATCAACAGCTGAGGTACTCCTAGCTGATGTCTACTTCCAGAAGCAGCAGTGAACACATTGTCCCTGACATACTGTAGTGCTGCCCCAGTATTTAGATTTCTTCCACCTTTTGCTGTAAGGCCATTAATGGAATAAATTACAGCTTTCTTACTACTATAAGTATTAAGTAGGAAATGAGTCAAAGCATCTTCGCTGTACTGTATTACAGCAACTCGAACAATGTCCTGGTCAATGTCAAGATCCTCTGCCATTCTCCGAATAAACTCACGGATGGCAAGAAGTCCATTTTTGGAGTCATCGGAGCCATCAAGGAGAAAAACTATATCCCGTTTGTTAATTCCTGTAGCAGGCAAGTTACCAAGAAAAGAAAAAGAGAAGGATATTGGAATACATCTGACTCATTCAATGTATAAATTGAATAGCAAAAGCTTTAAAAGTGTACAAGAGTGTTTCAAAATGCAAGTAAATCAAAGAATATCAGTGACATCGAACCCTCAAAATTTGTTTTGTGGGTCAGGATGTGAATAGCGTTGAATAAGAAAAGGTCTTGCAAGTGAAATATAGTTCAAAAACACTCCCATGAAACGAACATCTTTATGTGCAAAAGATGTCAACTAAAGACATGGAAGATATGAGAAAATGTTTAAAAAGAAAGGAATTTTCAGTTCCACCCTAGAATTAAGAATATCAACATATATATGGCAATTTATAATACATTTAAGGCATTTAGCAGATGCTTTTACCCATAGCTTGTTTTTGGAATTTCTCCTGATTCTTTTGGGATATGCTTTAGTGTTAAAACTATTTGTGGCGCTATTAAAGGAAGGCCATTAAATCAATCAATATAATGTGTAAATGGCGACTGAAATGATCGTTTTCAGCTCATTTGAATCTGCATTTTTCACACCAATGTTCACAGTCACAATTTCAAGATCTTTCAGGGTCATGGCAGGCCCTATTATTTCATCACTAGATGGTCTGCTACTTCAACAATATTAGTATTTCAGGAATTCCATAAAGTCATCTACTCCCAGATAAAGAATTGAAAACCTGGTGCCTCACAAACTGGAGGCCTGCACCAGTGTTAGCTGCTTGTCCACCTTTGTGTTTCAGGACCTTTATTGCATTTAGAACCTCCACCTTTGTTGAGTAAGTTTTAAGATAGAAGTCAACCAATGGATTGTCACTGTACTGAACCACAGATATTCTGTATTTGCTCTCCTCCACATTAAGTTTCTCAACAAGTCTTTGAACAAAATCACACACTGCACCAAATCCACTTTTAATACTGTCAGAATCATCCAAGAGGAACACAATTTATTTTGTTACATCTTCGGCATCAACACCAATGAGAAATATTTTGAAACACAGAATAGCAGGCCAGTGTACCCAAAAATAAACGACTAACACACGCTGCTGCTTTTGCAAGCATACAGAAGACCACAGAAACACAAAAAGCAAAAATTGTCTTACCTTCCTCTAGAAAGACCTTCAGTTCTTGATCTGGAAGGTTCACATAGTTCTTGAGCCTTTCCTGAACAGTGCTGAGCTGGCTGAACTCCTTCACATTGAAAGCAAATGATGGATTGTGAGAGATGGCCTCAATCTGTTTAGGGTCTGCATTTTTCACTCCAACACCAAAAGGAACAACTCCCTCAGTCTTTAGGGCAACTGCAGGTTCTCTGACACTGTCTCTTGATCTCCCCCCAGTCAAAACTATCATAAATTGGGGAACATTTTGACCGGCTCGACCACCATTTGCTGGTGACAAGATAGTGTTTTTCATGAATGTCAAGGCAACTCCAGTATTTAAACTTCTGCCACCTGCCAGAGTGAGTCCACTTACAGCTCTCAGCACCTCATCTTTGGTTCGGTAAGTGTTCAGGTAGAAGTTAGGAGTTGGTCTCTCACTATGCTGGACCACAGAAACTCGTACTTTATCAAAGCCTATATCCAGAGGCTCAATGACTTTGGAAATGAAGTCACGGATATAGGGAAAGTCACTTCTCACATCATCAGAGCCATCAATCAAGAATGCAACATCCCTTTCTCCACCAGAGGGACTTGGTGTTACAAATTCTGTGAAAGATTAAAAAAAAAAAGAGAATATGAAATAAATACAATAAAATGCTTAAATATCTACAGTACAACATAAAAGTTAGATTGTACATTTCTGAATACAAAAGAAAATAAATGTAGGTGATTAAAAAAATAAAGTGGTGCAAAAAGTATTTTCCGTTGACTAATTTGACGTACATGGACTTTATAGTGATACTCATCACCTCAAAACAATTGTTTTTTAGTTACTGGTGCCCATTGGTAGAAAGTACTTATTCACTGGCATGTTTGTTACCTTTCATGAACCTATTTGGAAATAAAAGTCTGATAATTGAGGTGCTGTGTCATTTCAGTTATGCAGTATGTTTAATGCACCGTTAGATACATCTTAATATATTAACTGAATAAAATATTATTCAACAAAACTTGTGAGTTTCTCAGATAACAGTTCTTTAGAAAGAGAGTTTGGAGGTTCCATTTGTGTCACACCCCACTTTAAACGTGGAATTTATATACGAAATTAAAATATCACTAATTGTGGTCTTTCTTCCTCATTTAGGGTGACCACTAGGTCAAGTATAATCTTTTTTTTCTAGGCCACTGATATAAGTAGAAGCTTCCTCTCTGATCACATTAATCACTTCTGTAAAAAGCAGTTAATTTATTTACATGTTGTTAAGTTTAAAAAATAAAACAAAATATTTTTATGGTCATGCATTTTATGATTATTATTTTATAGACTTTTTTTTTTAATGAGAAGGTGCTTTAGCTCACCTGTTACTGAAGTATCAGTCTCCCCAACAACAGTGACCAGTGGTGTCATAATTTCATCAACAACACTTGACAAGTCAGCAAAATTTCTTCTGTAGTATGCCAAATTTTCAACAAAAGCAACAGTTCTCAGGAAACGATCCTCCACTTGGCCAGCTCCAACAGCAAATGTCAAAACACCCGCTAAAGCTACACTGTCTGCAATCTTCTTGACCTCATCTTGAGATGGTCCTCCTGTTATTAAAACCAGTACCTGTTGGATCCCCTCTCTCCTACGAGACCCAGCGGAGGGCTGGAAGTGGTTGGCTAGGGCATACTGTAGGGCTGCACCAGTGTTCAATGCACGTCCTCCCATCAATCTCAGCCGAGCGATGGCAGAGAGCACATCCTGTTTGGTGTTGTAAGTGTTCAGATAAAACTCTGTACGCTGCCTTTCAGCAAACTGCATTAGTCCAATGCGCACTCGCTCAGGTCGAACGTCTAGTTTGTTCACCACTTCGGTAATGAAGTCCAGCACAGGTTGCAGGTTATTTCCAACATAGTTAGATCCATCCACCAAGAAGACAATGTCTCGGACAACTCTTTGGGTGTGGACCGTAGTAACATCCACAATTGTGCCTAGAAGATTTTAAATAACCTTTTTAGATATTTAGATACTTAGATAATTTTAGATATCTAAGTACCGTTTAAATGAAGAAGAACCTCAATTTGTGCTATAAGACAGTATCAATGGGCAAAAATGCATAAGAAAAGATACATGGTTTTGTAAAGTATTTTATTTAGGGGAACGCAGGGCACAAACTAACGCGGGGTTAGTTGTAACACACAGTTTAAATATTTTCACACATGCTAGCATAACCACAATTTACGGCATTTACTAGTTGTCATATCAACACTATATAGAGAAAAAGTGCGCTAAAACTCAAAAATCTTTTGAAGATATCGCTGAATATTTATTTTACCATAGCAAAAGTAAATTTCTGGCTGAAGTAAATTTTTCATCTCACTTTTTAGTATTAATTTAAAATGAGACAAATCTGCTATTATTATAATCTCCAATCTGTTATTTATCAGATTAGATTAGATTTTTTAATGATTCGCATTCTAGCAGATGACACCAACTGGTTCTAAATTCCAGTTGCGAAGATGGGCAACATTGTAACACTGCGTTACAAAGTGCCCCGCTATTATTAGAACTATGCTATTCTATGACAGTATAGCGATGTAATTTACACCATTTACTTTTATGAATTTTAATGAGAAACCACAAGAAACAGGTGAATAAAGGCTGACAGTCAATTAATGTTCAGAAATTATTATTTCAAGAAAGCATTTTGGCTCGTTTATGTGTCTCCTGTTCTGTGAGAGCTGTGTGTGAAGGAAGTGGAGTGTTGTGTTCATCTCTGTGTTTTTCTGAATGACTGAATGTGCCCACATTGTTTTGAGCTATACTGCATAGCTGCCTCTTCTGATCAGGGCCGTCCTGCATGGTTGCAATGTATTCATTGTCAAACTCCAAAATTTGAATATTTTTAATTCTTAAAAAACGCCATTATTCTATTTGAAAAAGTTAATCATTTTATTTTATTAACAAAATATTTTAGTTTGTCTTGTATATATTTTTTTTTTCATTAGATCAGATAACATTTTAAGCTGTCATGTGGACATGTTACAATGTGTCCCTCAGATGTTACAATGCACCCCACCTACAGGGCACGTTGGCACATTTCACTTCCATTTTTTGAGGGTAAATAAAGAAAAACATATGAAGAGTTCAGATGCAAAAGCCTCTAAGTGCCGTCTAAAATTTTAATCTAAAATGACCATTTTTATCAGGCTCATATATTTATGTTCAGTTATTTCACTTTAATAGCATAGAAAAGAACCTATACATTGCCATTAAAGTAAAATTACTGAACCTAAATATAGGAGCCTGATAAAAATGAGAATTTTAGAAGAAGATTTCAGACGGCACTTAGAGGCTTTTGCATCTGAACTCTTCATATACACTGTAATTATGAAACAAAGTGACATATTTGTGCAAGAAAGTGTGAAATTAATGTGAATAAAAATTATACTCTGAACCTCAGATGGATTTATACAAACTGAGAATGTCAAAAAGTGTTAGGTTGGACACCGTGCTCCCCTATAGTTATCTTATTAATTTAAATATTTATCTATATAACTTATACTTATGAACAATACAATCTGCTTTTTTTATAAACAAAATGAGTATGTTTGTAGAATTCTAAAGATTACCTGTTTCAGTTGGACCCTCTGTTACAACAATACCAGACAATGTAGAGAGTGGGGAGATAATTTCTCTGGGGTTGCGCAGCAACATCCTGAAGTCCTTCAGCATGAAAACCACACTGTCATCAAAAGCTATTTGCCTGAGCTCAGCCTCATCGGCAGCCCTGGAGCCTGCAGCCAAAGTCAGAACACCCATTTGACGGAGGGCATCAGCTGGTTGTTGGACACTGTCTTTGGATTTTTTACTGGTTAGGAGCAACACAAGCTGTGGCACTTGATCTTGAATGCGGCTACCACTCTCAGCTGTGAGCATGTTGGCCCTCACAAAATCCAAGGCAGCACCAATGTTGACTTCAACCGAAGATTTGGGTTTTATTCTTGCGAGGGCAGAGCTTAGTGATTCCTTTGAACTGAATGAGTTGAGGTTGATCTCCATTCTTGGGGTGGTGGAAAACATGGCCACTCCGACCTGCATCTGATCAGGACCAATTGGCATGGTGTCAATAAACCTTTTGATGAATTCTCGCACTGCATTGATTACGATGGTACCCATGCTACTGTCAACGAGGAAAATGATATCTCTCTTCCCAACAGCCAAAGCTAAGGGGGGGGGGAGAGAAGAATTCTGCTTAGTCCTTCTGCACATTCTAACCAAAATCAGGTAACCTAAATTAGCTCTCATCATTTATTTAAAATGAATAATTAAGGTTTAGCTTGAAGGTTGTTTTACAAATACAATGTATTAACTATCGCCATTCTTTTACTTGACATAAAGATGGCATAGATAAATCATATATGCAGTAAAAATTCATTAGCATTAAGTGATCATTCATTTCAAAATGGACATTTGCTGTGACCAAAATGTAATAATATCCTGAATAAACATACAAAATCTTACAGAAATTGAGTTATCTCTCTCCACTTAAAAGCTGTGCTACACTTGATTTAGTTTAAATATTGTGTTTTAGAGAGAACAATCAATGATGAGAACAGTGAACTACAACACTATTTGTATGGTTCGTTGGCAAACAGCATGTTTTTTACAGCATTGGTTTTTAATCCTGGTCCTGGGGACCCACCGCTCTGCACATTTTGTATGTCTCTTATCTGACTCTGTGCAGTTCATGGAGCTCTAACCTGATGAGATGATGAACTGAATCAGGTGTGTTAAATAAGGGAGACACAAAATGTGCAGAGCAGTGGGTCCCCAAGACCAGGATTGAAACTACTAGCTTACAGCACTCAAAATATGGTGTATAAGTGTTGCCTCTAAAATACCAGACAAAGAAATAATGAAAAAAAAAAAAGAAAAACACTAAAACTTTTTTAAACCAATTTTCTTGTTGTTGTTTAAATGTCCACGTCCCTGATATTGTACTGTTATTATTTCCCACTCTTCAGTTTCGCTTTGGAATCCCCCTCATATGTTAATTACATACCTTCTGGGAAATCTGTTTGAATCACAATGGTGCGCTGGGCGACCCCATTAATGTATTGCAGTATCTGGTCACCCACGCTTGCCACTGTTCTGACATCAGGAGCAGACAGAACAAATCTTTTGTCTGTAGCAATAGCTTCCAGTTGGGCAGTAGCAGAATCACCCACAGCAATGCCAAAGGTGTACACACTGGCCTGCTTTAGGGCCCTCTCGGCCTGACTGACATCATCAGTGGACTCCCCAGTACTGATCACCACCAGCACCTGGGGTACCCCTTCCTCAGCCCTGCCTCCTGCATCTTGGCCCAATAGACTGTCTGCCACCTCCTCCAAAGCGGTCCCCAGATTTGCCTCATAAGTGCCAGGGTACTTAAGCCCCCGAATAGCACTGAGGACACTCTCTTTGTTGTCATAGCTATTGAGATAGAACTGAATGTCAGGGTCGGCACCATAAAGCACGAGGGCTACACGGATTGCATCCCTGCCCACGGCAAGCCCCTCAATCACTTGGACAGCCAAATCACTGACGAGGGGGAAGTTGGCAGCTCCAACGCTCTCTGATCCGTCAATTAAGAGTACAAGGTCGGCTGGCGCAGGGGCTTTGAAGGGAAGTGGAGAGAGGACAGAGAGACAAACAAAATATAATGCAAAACGTGTGGGTTAAAAAAAGGAAAGAGGGAGGGTGAAAGGGGAGGGGTGCAAGCATAAAACATAATCTTGGATAATTACAATCCATCATAAAAACACAACACAAACACATTATACTGCATGTCTGCTGAACCAAGGAAGATGCTCTGCAACTTTCTCATTTTCATACTCTAAATAGTGTAGAATTAAGTTGTGGGGTTTTAATTTACAGTGTATTTAGAGTAATTGTGTGTACATTACAAAGATTCTGAACTGTTTATGTGTTTGGGCCCCTCTAAAGGCTGCCTAGGCAATTGAATCTTTTCATCTTCTTGTGTTCAGTCAGACCATGCAGACTCATGTTACAGTATTCAGTGATAACAGCACCAGTCATGACCCTTCTGTCTCATCTTTGGACCTTTATAAATATTTTTTACTGTCACTTCTTTCAACTGTACTAGCATTTTTCACATATTTGATTGTTAAAGACCCCATGAAATCGCTCAACAATCACGGTTTTATTTCTTGTGACAACAGTACTAAAACAAAATTTATGGCCAGGATATATTGAAAGGTTTGTCCCATGTTTAAATGGTCAATAAGCTTTATGTCACAAACATGAGCCATGATTTACTCCTTGATAATCGACTGCAGGTGATATTAGTGGAGGGACATTAATGTTCTAGACAGCATCTGATGCAAACATGTCTGAAATATAGGATGAGTCATCAATACTTTTAGCTTTATTTTCCAGAAGAGAGAGACTGTAAATGTAAAATGCATACAATGATCTGCTAAAAGTGGAGTTTGTCATCATTTTGGAGCACACTACAAAATACTGATGGCTAAAGGCAAACCTACATAGACACAAAAAGGCACAAAACTTTTACCTTCAGTTTATGGGGTCTTTAATGTTTAAATTCAGTGAAATATGCCCTTTGTTTAGTAAACAATTCAAAGATGAGAACATATGGATTCATCACTGTCTTAATTGTGGAGAAACACTTTTTATTACTTAAATGGTTACACAGTGAAGACAGTCAGCACACAAACACATAAGAATCAGACATTAAGCTCTCAAGACATAAGCTGTGCTGGGAGGTTAGCCATCATCAGCTGCTGATGATCTCTAAGACATAAATCAGTCATATGACATCTAAAGAATTTAGGCATCAATTTGGAAGTGAATCTAATTTTCATTTTTTATTTTCTTTAAGAATTTAGTAGAGGAATGGATGGATAAATAAGTGAATGGATAATGGCAGAGAGACAGAAAGACAGTGGGATGGATGTTGATGGTTTTGAAATTCTGTTACATCTAAAATCCATTATTTCATGTCTATTTGCGCAAATGCACTAAAAACAGCATGCAGAAAATGTGACTGTGACAAAACTAGTCATGTTAACAGTGGGGGAATTGTTAATTGGGTTATTTCTAGTTTAATTTTTCATGAATTACCCAGAGTCAATATTAACTGGCTGTGGCCGTTCCCGACGCTGACAGTAGCTCTTGAGACCTTTCAGGATTGGTGGTGTAAACTTAAAATTCAGTTATCCATTGAATTGTTTTTGTTCATTAGGAGTTCTGAACAAACTACAGCATACTGCTCTGAATGGCCTCTAGGTATTTAAATCAGTTATTTCCTTTTACATAAACTGTAACTGTTTCTCTTCACTGTCTTAAATATGAGATTTCAAAGTTTTAACACAAGTGACCAGCACTGATGGGGGTCTTCTGAAAACGCTCCTATTGTTACTTGCTGTTGCAAAAGTACATATAATTAAACTTCATATTAAACAATAGAGCTTTGCAAAGAACAAGATACCTAATTTTAAACTCTCCTCCCAGACAAGGGAAAATAGCACAGTAAAATGAATGTTTTTACCCATAGCGTGACATTTACATCTCAAAGAAGGGTGAAAAAAAAAAAAAAAAAGATGGACTAAACTTACCATCCTGAGCTTCAAGTTTTTGGAATAGGCCAAAAACCATTACACCCCAGAGGGCATACAGTAACAACCGACTCTTCCGCATTGTCCACAAAAGCATAGGAATAGACAGCTGGAAAAAAGACAACAAAACTGCTTTTAAGGTTTTGGGGAAATGTACAGCATACTACAGTATATGGATACTCTCAAACAACATCCCTTTATTTCAGATAGAACTTTCTCAATTTCAATGGCACTAACACACATGACTGTTGTTCATCCACAGTTCTGACATAACTTTGCACAGTCTGATAATGTTTTGCTATCAAATTATAGGTGTCAAAAGATCAATATTCTAAATATAGTCCCTTACTGGGTTGTTTGTGTTCTCATCTTATCTCATAAAATATAACATAAACATTCTCTGAAATACCTCAGTACTGTTTACGCTTATTTTTAGGAGGAGAGGAAAAGTTTTGGCAGCACAGTGAGATTTATGTGACCTGTTTCCACCCCATGAGCCAAATCCACACAGCTGTCAGATTTCAGGATTTTAAAAGGTTTTCTTCCCACATCAACTGTCCTCACTTGCCAGTAAAAACCACTAAGCACTACACAGTCCACACTCAGAAAAAAGCATCAGAGTATTGGACACAAACAAAAATGCCATAACATGCAGACAGACAGATACCACAACACAGAATGTCCCCTCCCTGTTGAGCTCAGAATCACACTGAAAGGATCTATTGTAAAAACATTCAGAGTGGAAGCCTACAGGAAAATAACGTCTCCATCACATCAGTCTCAGAGTTGCTGGAGGCATTGAGTCACGGTACAAATTCATTCGTTTTGGTAGTTGGTTGCCATGTGACCACAAATGCAAATATGATTTTAAAAAAAACTTATATAAAAAAAATTGTTTTTAAAGGCATTTTTGCATGTTTTGCTCTTACAGTTATAACAAATTAAACATTGTATTTGTATTATTATTTTTTTTTTTAAATGTTAACAAAGTAAAGTGAACAAAGATGGACTAAACTTACCATCCTGAGCTTCAAGTTTTTGGAATAGGCCAAAAACCATTACACCCCAGAGGGCATACAGTAACAACCGACTCTTCCGCATTGTCCACAAAAGCATAGGAATAGACAGCTGGAAAAAAGACAACAAAACTGCTTTTAAGGTTTTGGGGAAATGTACAGCATACTACAGTATATGGATACTCTCAAACAACATCCCTTTATTTCAGATAGAACTTTCTCAATTTCAATGGCACTAACACACATGACTGTTGTTCATCCACAGTTCTGACATAACTTTGCACAGTCTGATAATGTTTTGCTATCAAATTATAGGTGTCAAAAGATCAATATTCTAAATATAGTCCCTTACTGGGTTGTTTGTGTTCTCATCTTATCTCATAAAATATAACATAAACATTCTCTGAAATACCTCAGTACTGTTTACGCTTATTTTTAGGAGGAGAGGAAAAGTTTTGGCAGCACAGTGAGATTTATGTGACCTGTTTCCACCCCATGAGCCAAATCCACACAGCTGTCAGATTTCAGGATTTTAAAAGGTTTTCTTCCCACATCAACTGTCCTCACTTGCCAGTAAAAACCACTAAGCACTACACAGTCCACACTCAGAAAAAAGCATCAGAGTATTGGACACAAACAAAAATGCCATAACATGCAGACAGACAGATACCACAACACAGAATGTCCCCTCCCTGTTGAGCTCAGAATCACACTGAAAGGATCTATTGTAAAAACATTCAGAGTGGAAGCCTACAGGAAAATAACGTCTCCATCACATCAGTCTCAGAGTTGCTGGAGGCATTGAGTCACGGTACAAATTCATTCGTTTTGGTAGTTGGTTGCCATGTGACCACAAATGCAAATATGATTTTAAAAAAAACTTATATAAAAAAAATTGTTTTTAAAGGCATTTTTGCATGTTTTGCTCTTACAGTTATAACAAATTAAACATTGTATTTGTATTATTATTTTTTTTTTTAAATGTTAACAAAGTAAAGTGAACAAAGCCATGTTCTCAGTGAGGAACAGCCTAATTTGTCCTGAGGAAAAATCATGTCTTGTTCCAATTCAAACTGACATATTCATTATACAAATAAATATGCCTTTAAATAATAGTTTCAATTATTTTATTTTAAAATCATTTTTCCACCTGGCATTTTAAAATTGTTGTAAGCTATACTCTTTATATTTAACATGAAATGTTGTTAACATTGATATTTTCAAGATATTCAACAAGAAAACGTGTAGGAGGGACTTAGTTTTTTTGAGATTCGATTGGATAATAATAAGAAGTAGTGCTATGAGAATGGAGCCAGTTTGTTTGAGAGTTGAAAACCAAAAGGAATTTGTGACATCATCCAATATAGATAGAGATATAGATAGATATAGATGTGTGTGTGTGTGTGTGTGTGTGTGTGTGTGTCAGTTACATTCATTGTGCACAAGACCAGGAAATATAAAATGAAGAAAGAAAAATGAAAAAAGAAAATGATTAATCACATCTGGAATAGCTAGAATCCTAAAAGAAAGAAAGAAAGAGGTCCTTACACAAAATTACTTTATGAGTTGAAGTTGTTTCGGTTGGCATTTAATTCCTTTGGATGCAGAAAAATACTTAATAATTTTCAAACTTCAGCACACAACGGTATTTCATTTAAATTGATTACAAGTAAATTTATAGCATATAATGTAACAATGCGTAGTCATAATGCGCACAATATGTGCCAACTAGTGGTGTGTCTGAGAAATAATAACTGCAAGCACAACCACATGAAAAACTGGGCATGTGAATTGAGAATTGTTGTGAATTACTGATATGCACATACTGCATATAGAAATAAAGAAACAAATAAATATAATTAATTATAACCAGGGCAAAACATAAAAATGGCCAGTGCAAACTAAAAAAAATATTTCCCAAAGAACATTCAAATCATGGAAATCTCTTTTTAATTACATTAATAATTACATTATTTTCAGCATAATTTTGCTGCCTCATTCAGTAAAGTCGTAGAGAATAAACAACTGATTCAGTCATTTTTTTTAATGCCCAAGCAACAATAATGAGATGGAAAACATATGTGTGTATCAAAACCAAGCTCAGTCAAAAAAAACGTAACCGCCAAATGAGTATTACAAGGTGTCTCAACATTGTCCTCTAGTGGATTGAGTTGGAATAACTACTTCTCCCTGACAGTCTTTCTCAAAGCAGGCCCAGCAGAGGAAATCTAATACCCACACCCTCAGGAAAAATGTGCAAAAATGTTAACTTTAGATTGTCACTGCATGAGTAGTATCATCAAAGGTACACTTTCAAACATTATCTTCCCCTAAAGGGTGCATATCAGCACCCTATATTTCTGTGCATGTTTGTTCTGACAATTACATATGTTTGCCTATATGTATGCAAGCCAATGGGAAAGTACTGCAATGGATTTAGGTTTTCTGGTGTTTTCAAAGGTCCACATCTGGTTCTGCTTCACTTAAGTTTAATGCCTCAGCTCTAACTCTCCCAGCATTCTCTGTCCATCTGGCACAGACAGTGGAAAAAAGTGTTTCACATCACCCTGTCTTTACAGTGCTGGGCAGAAGGTGCGATTTGAATAATGTCTATAGTGGTAGAAAAGTACAACAGAGCTTCCTGACTTGCTCTGCTTCTTGCCTCTGTTTAAACAAGCTCATAATCAGTATTATCCTCATCCTGGTATGTTATATTATCTTGATGAAAACAAAATCGGCATAACAACTAAAACAGACAGTTAAGATGATAATTTTGCAATATATCCTTCTAGAAAAATGTGTATTTTACACTTTTACATAACATAATCATTAAGGTAAATGTAATCATATCACAAGCACGATTGCATGCTGTAACAGTGGTCTCAAAAACTTTCCTGCTGAATTTTCCACCCTTACACACCCTTAGCACAGAGCCCCTCCTCGTGTATTTTACTTATCAGAGCACTTTGCTCTGCCTCTTCTGCAATGTCTCTTCCTGTGGTGCAAGAAAAAATCCCTAAGCTTTGGAATTTAGTGTACCCATAGAATTCTTAACATTAAAACTATAATTAAGAAGTAAAACCGCCTACACATTGTGTGCATTGGTAAAGTCATGCAAACAAATTAAACTTTATAGGGTAAAAAGGGTGCATACACAGCATATTTTAGTAAAAATGGATTTTGGCACAGCTTTAGAATGCATGCATACAAATACACTAAAACCCACACCATCTTGTACAGGCTCACTCATGAACTTAAATGCTCCTTTTACAAAGACATATTTGCATGACTCATATATAACAAAGCAACTCACCTCTGGAATACAGAATTCAGAGTGCTGTATTCCGCAGTCTTTCTACGGAATTTCAAATAACTGCAAAAAAACAACTCTTAGGTCATTATCTTCCTGGTATTTCCCTTCTGTGAACTGTTCTGGATGGGACAGGCAGAGATGATGCTGATTAGCTCGTGTGCTGGAGCTCTACTGTGAGACTCTCGTCCGTTGAGCTGACTGTGTGCTCTCCAGAGAAGGAGTGCCACTTACTCCAGCCTGGGACAGAACACACAACTCAGAGAATCCTGGAGAAAAGCCACCCAATTTTTCTACGCCTCCTACTTTCCTCTGCATAGAGAAGAAGGAAAAAGCACAAAGAGGGGAAAAAAGTGAGCGAGAGAGAGAGAGAGTCATAAATGAGAAACAGACCCAAGGCCGTATTTGGTATGACTGTTCCTTATTGGGAAGGTGATGTAACAAACCAAACCAAAGATTTTTTTTTTCTCCTTACACTCCTCTAACTCAACTTATATCCTTGGCTACCCACTGAAGGAAAAATCCCAAACACAATATATGAACTTTCTTGCAAGTCTCTTTAGTATATAAAAAAGTGTAGAGTATAAATGTATATTAGTATTTGAAAAAAATCACTTTTTGGATTGGACTTGTTTAGATGACTGTGACAAACAAGGTTCTGGATGGGGACATTTTTTTTTTATTCTGAAGAGATTAATCAAGCATAATAAAGATCATATTTTTTGCACTTATTACTGCATATGAAAAACACACACACAAAGACGTGTAAATCTGTTT